CTATAACTTTCATATTATGTCTCATTAAAGTAATTCAACCTAAATACTGTTGAAACATCAGTGGCATGGGATCCTCACATTTCTGAGTGGTTTCGTTCTGTAGACCGATCAGGTCTGCTTCAGAATGTGTATTCCAGTCCAGACTGCAAAAAGAGGCTTGGATGTGTGACTTCAGCCTAAAACACTCCAAACTCCTACACAGAAGGATCCACTTGCATTCAGCAGGAGTTGTGCACACCCTAACCTTCCCCAATTGTGTCTGCCCGACTCTCCTGCTGACCCACAGAAATCACACATGCAGCTGCTGTTTAGAAAGCTTTTGGAAAGCTACTTTCCTTTATATTCTCTTTTATCTTTGTTTCCATTATCATTTGTACAGATCTGTTTATCTATGGCACCGGTCACATATTCACCTCAAACATTCTCATAACATCTGCATGACATTTCCAGGATACGTTTTCCAGGTGTACTGGAATTGGAGAAACAAAGTCTACAAGATGTTTAGTATAGTAAAGAGAGAGATAAAAAACCCTTGGGAGGAACCAGAGAAGCTGGTTTGTTTAGATTTTATTCCTCCACCTTATATTTTGGCCCTAAAATGTCTGGTGTCAGGAATTGTAAAAGAGATGTCCACTATACTTCAGTTTTGCTTGACAGTAATTGGTGCTTTAATTAGTGGATTTACAGATGACTTGAGAATGAAAAGAGATCATTAATGTGTCAGGGAAGATGTATACTTCAAGTTCATATATTAAGTAAACTTAAAGCTGAAGTATATTTTATGTAGCAACTAAGTATACCAATATCAGTATATTAGTAGTGTACTTGTACGTGTACTATGTGGTACTATGTCCCATTTTTGACTTCATAAAAGTATATTTTAAGTGTACTTTACGTGTTCACAGTAGAAATTTTTTAGTAAGTACATCTACTGTAAGTGTTTTTTTTTTAGCCCTGAAGTTATATACGTCTTGCTGATATTTTAGTTTATGAATACACTCCATTTTTTTCAGTGCATACTTGGTGCAAATATAATATAACCAAGTATGATGTTAAGTTCACTTAAAAGTATATACGTTCAAGACAACTTGTAGTATACAAACTATTAAAGTAGTAATTTGCTGAGAGTATTCGTCAAAATGCACTTTCATAAACTAAAAAAATGGATTGAAGTATAAATTGTTAACTAACAATATCCCTAAATTGACTTATAGTGTAGCTGCTATACTAACCACAAAGTTAAACTATAGTTTTATATTTAAAGTTTGCTATTGTTACACTTGAAAGTATACTTTTATAAACTAATTAGGACATCTTTCTCCTAAGAAGTATTGAAATAGTATATATATACAAGTAGTGCATTAAAATATGTACATACTTGGAAAAAAAAATACCGCATACTAGCATAATTCAGACTTTTCTGTAAATGTCAGTTATAAACCAAGTATACTTAAGTATAAATTTAATCTCTATTCAATACATAAAAGTTGGATTTAAAGTATGTATGCTATTTTTAGTTTAAAAGAAGTAGGTCTATACAGCACTGGAATAAGCTACTTTTTTTGCAAGGTAATCATGGTGAGTATTACGTGGAGACAATCCTGACAGTTTATTCAGGGAAATTCGATTCTTGAGTTTTGCAGACCTGTGTAATATAAATTTAACAAAACATGGGCGTTAGGGTCATCTCAGGATGCACACCACAGTTTGTCAAATACTGTCCATAGAGGGCACTAGAAACTGTTTGTTGATTTTGAAATGCACTATTTTTGTTGGAGTTATGGTGTACTCTTGGAGAACATACTCCTGACAAACTGTAAGAGCCAAAGCTCTAAATCTGGTGTCATGTCATAATTAACTGTCCTATAGATTCATGTGCAACTGTGCGGGTTGATTTAAAATCGTTTATAACCGAGAGTGGATTCTCTCAAATTCCATGTCATTTGATTTTTCTGCCAGGAAACTCACTCTTTATGACAACATAGTTAGGGAATTGATATTACCGAACACATTTGGCATATATGAGCCAAATACACATTTGAGCATGGTTCAAACTGACTAACGTTCAAGATATTTTCAAAAATCTATTCAAAATATCTGATGTTCTTGAAAATACACAATATAAAATATATGTGGGATGGAAATACTGTTGAAATGCTTGATGAATTGCTACTACATGACTTCTCTTATACTTTGTTACTATGTCCTGTGTAGAATGTATTAGATAGACAGCAATGTGTTTGGGCTGTGAAAAACTGCTATTTGGGTGCATACAAGAGTTGCAAAATCATGCAGAAAATGTGCAAATGGAAAAGCCTCACACTTCACATGTACCGTACAACTACTGTGCATTTTATTTTCTGAAAGTAAAATCTCAAAAGCTGGTGTTTCTTTCCTTGACAGATCATTTCAAGTCACAAAATGAACAAGTCTTCAAGTCATCTTCTTGTTTGTTTTGTAGGTAAGAGGTTTAAAATTCCACATTATAAAAGTGCCCGTAATGGCTTACATTCATACTTCAAGCTGAAGTGTGTCATTTTTTTTTCAATGTTAAAATAACTCTAGTTCAATATTCAGATAAAAAAAATAAGTAAATAAGCCAATGGTAGGTTTAATTCCCCAAAAATGTAACATCTGCATCTCTTAGCTGCTATCAAATCATTGCTTAAGACCGGCCCAACACAACAGCATTGGATTAATCAATCGATTTGCCTGACTATCTGAGAAAACTGCCAGAAAATAGTCATTATTATTAATGCAGTTTTGTTTGATGATGCTAGTGGAGCAGAAATTACACACTTCAGCTTTCATTCAACATATACGAGAATTGTCAAACTGATAATATACATGAAGATGTTGTAAGGGAACAAAACATAACCAAAAGTAAATAAACACTTTGGAGAATTTAATTGTAAGACAATGCAAAAATCGTTGAAGCTTGTGTCCAAAGTTACATGGGCAGAGAGACCTGAGAAAAGAGGGAAAATACAACAAAAAAGAGGGAAAACATGCAAGAGACGCCTAATGTGAATATATTAACTTAAAAAGGAATGTAACACATTTTTTTCTTTAGGAACATGCATTTGCATTTTTTTACCAGACTTGCAATGAGAGCCATGTTAAATCATCTGAACTCAAATAAGATCACATGAGCCAAATCTAACCAAATGAGTTTATGGTATTATAAATCTACTGTAATTTACACAGAAATGCAGTTTGTTTTAACCAGCGACACAAAAACCAACCCATAATTCACATAAAACAAGAGCTTGGAAAACAATAGCTTAGAAAAATGCATAAAATCAGTGAGCATTGAATCGAATTGCATTGGTAATTCCCTTAGGCTATCTGACGTTCATAGTACTGGCATTTCAATGTCAGTCAATTACCATCAGGGGCCTGTGAGGTCATAGTATTATTTGTGCCACATAAAGTCAAGAGGAAAAACACTCAATAATATAGCATGATCTAATGATATTCAAGCTGAGTAAAACATTCAGCACCGGCCAAAAAGAAAGATCCAGAACTAGTGCAGCACCTACATGTGATTTGTCAATGCTAGGGGAACTATGAATAAGCACCACTGATGAGCACCTTCCCTGAGCTATACACAAACTCAGCTCAGGGTTACAATATCATCTTCTTTTTGTCACACATGATGGTTTTACACAAAAACAACAGTATCATTGTTCAGCAAAAATAGATTTAATTGAAGAGACAGTAGCGTGAATGTACCCATGCCACTCTGTGACTTCAAGTTCCCCAAAACATAGGCTCACATTGGGTTACTGTTGAGCTTTTCTATCTTTGTCGCAGCTAGAGTACTAGTTAAAACACATTTTCAGAGACAATGTGTAAAGTTTCTCACAACCTACATGACAAGATGTTGTTTCAAGTGCTGAAGTACAGCATTTTGGGTGTACAATGGTTCTGAACACTGACGTACACTCTTTAGCACCATAAAGATGAAATTAACAAGACATTTCTTAGCCGTATGTTCACTTTAAACCTCATGTAAGAGTAATGTAAACCTTTTGTTTGAGCCAATATCTTGACTAGGCCTCTGGATACATATACAATTACATTTGTCATAAAATTGATCTTTTCACTCAATGCACCTAAATAAAACCAAACATACTTGCGTATAAAAATGCGCAGACACTGATCCACCCCAGCCCTCGCACTAAAAAGTGATTGATTTCAAATAAAAATGCTCTAGGTAGCAATAAAAATAGATGAAATGACATCTCAGGAGGTGTCATGGGATGTCTTCAGAAGCACCAGTGAAAAACATACAGTAAATTCGTTCAAACATAACTTAACACGCTTGAATTGTATAAAATGATTAAGCTATTTCAAGTCATGTTTCAACCTCTTTGGGAGTTAAAAAAAAAAAAAAGAAACTCAAAAATTGGGACCAAATAATATAAAATTGTACATAAGTGCCAGAAATCAAAATGCAGCATAAAACTTTCCATGATTATTGCTTAAATATGCAAAGTTTCATAATCATGATACCAAAAATCGTGTCCGGAGATACTTGAAGATGAATAAACCAAACGTGCATATTGGAAACTTCAAAGGTCAAGTTGGTCTGAAGATACAAAGTGCTTTTTGAAATGATGCCATGTCTATGTCTCACAACAGTGTTGGGGAAAGTTACTTTTAAAAGTAATGCATTACAATATTGCATTACTGCATAAAAAAGTAACTAATTACATTAGTTTGGAACTTTTTATGGAAAGTAATGCATTACGATACTTTTGCGTCACCTGTGCTAGGCTTGGTTATTTGTTTTTTAATAACAAAAACCTCAAAAGTTATATTTTTGGCAACTGTAAAGGCCATTTCACACCAAAAGTGAAATTAATAAGCCTCTGGAACTCCCAGTTTATCTCAACACGTGGACAGGAGAGGTGTCAGTGAATAACTTGCGTTACTTATTTAAAAAAAAGTAACTAGACATATTTTGTTACTTTACTAGTTACTTGGAAAAAAGTAATCTGATTACAATGCCGGAACAATGTACCTTTTTACCAATGACCTGTAATGACCCATGTGTGGTTCATATTGGTCATTTAACCTTACTGCTACAATGGCAGCATAAAATAGCAACTACCGAGTGTCGGACAAGACAGCACCCAAGGCTGAGACGAGAATATAGAATTCACATTTGACAATGTCAATTCGGAGTGTTTACTACACACGTCATTTCAAGGATGACATACTCCTATTGCAGTAAACAGGCTTGGACCAGAAATTAAATTACAAAATAGTCTTGAAAATGATCAGAATAAATAATCACATCTTCTATGCACTAATTTCATCTATATGTATAAAACCAGTTTTATAACATCTGTTCTGAGCACCATCTCTTTACAATAAAAAAAACACAGACATACACACCAAAACTCACAGTTAAAAACCCACAAATGGTAGTCTATTTCTTCGTAAAAGCTGAGATGAAGAGGACAACTGAAGAAGAGCACACGTAAAAACGGGCATGAAAGGATGAGAACTAGCTGAGGTAAGGCATTAGCTAGACAAGCACGGAGAATTTCACGTCCAGCGGTTGTAAGGCCCAGTGACGTGCGTGAGGGAGTAGGGCGCTGACATGACGACGCTGTCACGCGGAACTGTTAGCGATTGACGGGTAGGAACCTGAAGCTTGTGTCTCTCTTCCGGATAAGTCTCGTTTTCACTCTCCGTATCCGAATCCATCTCCTTTGACCTGTTGTTGAGTCCCTGACGCTCGGCTTCCTCTTTCTCCCTGGCCTTCTCGGCCATTTTAGCCTCCCACTGTTGCAGGCCGTGGCCCGGAGTGTTAAGGCTCTTGTGCTGGTAGAAGACCAGCGAGATGCGGGTGGGATGCGTGCGGTTGGGCTGCAGGATGGGAGTGGTGGCGTGCAGTTCCCGCCGAGCGCATTCGATCAAGATAGAGCCGTGGGAAGGAGCCACCGCGACCCCGCCGATGTCCCTGTCGAGGAAATTGTGCTCGCTTTCCGACCACACTTCCTCCACTTTACCCACCTCTGGGGTCAGGGGTCGCGCCGTATCTGGAGGGTTGCGGTGGTCCTCCAGGTTCAAGCGACTGTGGAGACCCTCGGCTGTGGGCGGGGAGAGCGGGGTGGGAGCTGCGCCGCCCTGGAAGCACCGCATCTCCTCAGGCTCGGATTTGAACGAGGGAGAGTATTTTGAATTCGTTCTCAGAGGATCGTTCGGATACGAGTTTCTTAACGGTTCAGACGTCTGCCTGATGGTCTCGAGTCCGTGTCTAAGAGAAGGAGAACCATTGCTGTGGCCCGTTCCTCTTGAGGGATCATGCGGTCGAGGGAACTCTGGGTGTGTGGACATGCCAAAGCTGGAGGCCACAGGAGGAGTGCGGCATATGTTACTCTGGTTGTACGGGACAGTAGAGCGGAAGTCTGAGAATTGGTCTCCAATGCCTGGAACACCAGATAATCGCATGCTGGAACTTAAATTACGAGTATCCTTTTCCAAACATGGTGAATGTTCAACAGAGGTTTGTTTGAAACCTGTGGACAAAATAATAATAACAATGTAGATTAGAAAAGTCCCCAAAAGCTTCCTGGAATAAATCAGTGGCACAACAGCCCCTATTTAATGATCTATTCTCAAGAGAAATGTATATTTAATTTACAATATGAATTAAAATCATTCCCATTACATATCCATCATATATCCATACTTTATAATCTCAGTGGTTATCCGGGTTATTTTTGGCTACTAAGAGAAACCTATTCTTGAAATTTACTTTTGGTATATATCTGGTTTCAGGAAATAGTAAAAAGTGAAAATTCTATCCGATACCAATAAACTAATAAATATTTTCATGTTATGACTGAAGATGTGAAAAACAAACAAACTATCTAAAAGGTAAAATGTATTTAAAATGCTAAAAGTGAATTTAGGCATCGCAGCATTATAATGTACGGCATGAAAAATGGATATTCATTTTGAAATTTGCTAAAGATTACATTTAACTGTGCTATTAAATTATTTATCAAATAATTATTAAATAATATTTCAAAAATAATAATAGAAAAATAATTATAAATAATTATTAGTAGCAATGATGATCTTAAAGTGAGTGTTGGATGATAGTAAACAATCTAAATGTAAAAATGTGTAATTGAATATTATAAAGAACTATAAAGAATTAAATTACTGTAAAGAAATAAAAAACAAAAATACTGAAATATTGCAGATAACAGAAAACTGATTGTTACTGGAACGTCCTGATTTAGAGGTCACCATAAGGGTACGTTTACACGACAACAATGTACTAAAAACTGAAAAGTTTTTTCTTTGCATTTTAGAAATGTTTAGAAACACTACATGCCTGCGCACATACGCATTCCTATAGACTCAACACACAAGTATGCACATCATTTTCACAAATTAATTTTTTTTGTTTACACAGAGACGAAACTGTATCGTTTTTAAAAACTTGCACCTTGAAACCCGTTTTCAAAAGTTTGCATTTTCAGACCCCCAAAAGGCTTATTGTGCAAATAGATGGCCAAAATGCATAAGAAATTTTCTGTTTTAGTTGAAAATGGTGTAGTGTATATGCCCCCTAAACCAGGGGTTTTTAAACTGTTTCTGGAGCCTCCCCAGCACTACACATTTTGAATGTTCCTCCACCTTACATCAAAACCCCTGCCTGAAACCAACTTGTACACATCAAGAAAATGGCATGCCTCTTAAGAAGGAAGGCTGAACTGGATATACCTTTAAGATGCTCGTTCTTCACTTTCACAGGAGTGCCCCGCTTACTGTCCAGGCCGCTAAGTTTCTCAGCATGGGCTCTTTTAGCCTCCATCCTCCTCTTGCGTGCTGATTTGACGGGCTCAGCCAACATCCTTACTTCTCTTGGGAAAGCAGAGAGGACTTGCAGTGCCCCAGACTTTATTTTGGCCCACTGGCCCTCAACATGTCCAAACTCATCCGTCTCAGAGATCTTGTAGAGCGGCAGGACGTGCAGCTGCTCGTCCTCTGGAATGTTCCGCACTGCACGGTTATCCTCCTTGGTTAAAGTACATACCTGCAGTTCACATGAGGCAAGTGCATATCTCATTTATCTCAGATGTCAGAAAATGAAAAAAAGAAGGTATTAGAAGGACAATGACATTGACAGTTGAAGTGAGACTCACCACAGTGCTTCCATTGGTCATGTTATGTGTGTCTCTGTGGGCATGAGCGCAGAAGTCCACACATGCAGTCACACCAGAGAACGGTCGACCTTCAGTCCTGCCCAGCCGACAGTCCTGCCCCTGCTGCTCCTGCTCCACCTGACAGGTTACAGATCATCAACTAACTTAGCAAACATTTTTACTGTTGAGCTCTGCTTAAGAGCAGTTTTAACATTGTGACAGATTGTGACATTTTGATTATGTAATTCCTACCTGGTTCTGAAAGGCCACAGGAGCAAGTTTATTGTACACGGGGGCCAAATCTGATGCCAGATTCTGCAAGTATTTCTCCAACTTCTCCTCCTAACCAAACATCAAACATTATTGTAGTTTGAAAGATGAAATAAAATGACCATAAAGCATAAATACTCTATCTTTCGAAAAATTTGAGGTTGGTATGATTTTTTTCTGTTTTTGAATAACATCACTTATGCTCAGCATGGATGCTGCAAGGATTTACTTGATTCAAAAATACAGTAAAAACAGTAATAGGGTGAAATATTATTACAATTGAAAGTAACTGTTTTGTATTTTAATATTTTTTTTTATTTTAATTTAAAATGACTGTAAATACATTTTAATTTATTCTTGTGATGGCAAAGCTGAATTTTCAGTCTTCAGTGCCACATGATTCTTCAGAAATCATTCTAATATGCTGATTTGGTTTTTTTAATGAAACATTTCTTATTACTATCAATGTTGAAAACAGTTGTGCTGCTTAATATTTTTGTAGAAACTTTTTTTCAGAAATATTTGATGGATAGAAAGTTCAATATAACAGCATTTATTTAAAACACAAACTTTTTTAACATTACAAATGCATTTACTTGCACTTTTCATCAATTTGATGCATCTTTGCTGAATAAAAGTATTAATTTCTTTAAAAAAATCTTACTGACACCAAACTTCTAGATGTTAGTTTCAGTAAAATGTATTTTGTTTATTCACAAAATAATGTTTCATACAGCACATAATTTGTGCACTGCGACCACTGTTATCATTGTTTATATTAGGTTTTCATAGTACATCTTGCAATTCTTGCAGGATGGCTTTTAAAGCTTGTATGAAGAAGATGCAGCAGAGTATACAATCTGCCGTACTTTACACAGCATTGTTCCGCCACTGTAAATCAGACACTTGAATTGGCTGAAAGTGTATAATAATGAGGATAATTTACTTAAAGGGGTCATATGATGCTGCTAAAAAGAACATTATTTTGTGTATTTGGTGTAATGAAATGTG